CAGGGACTGCAGCCTCCGCCGTCGCCGGCGACTCATGGCAGCTCAGCTCCAGGTTGAGCTGTGTTCAGCATCTTAGCTGTAGAGGGCAGTGTCACTGGCCCTCATGTGTGGGATCCGAACCGGGGCCCTCTGGAATCGCAAGCGAGCTCTTAACCATCGCGCCGCTCGGCCGGTCCGAAAAGTACTTTCTGACAACTGGTTTTTAGACTGTTCTAGCTAACTATCGCAAGCCTGCTATGACAAACTGTTTCAGAATTCAGTTCATTCCAAATATTTTTATTTGGTTAATACAATTGCATGATGTCAATGTTGCGAGTTTTCCTTTTCTAAATTAGTATATATGGACACCCTTAGAAAATATAACTTACTTAAGCAAACGGATACCTCACCAGTGAGCCATGCTCCTATGGAGCTGGGAAAGTAGACAGACCTGGTGGCAGATACTAAGAATTCTCCTTGGGTTAGGACTGCATTTTTAGACCTTGCTAATCATCCTGTAGACCTCAGACCAAGAAGCATTGGCATCACTTAAGCTCCTGTTAGATACAGAATCTCAGGCCCTGCCTCAGACCTGCTGAAGCGTAACCTGCGTTTAGTAAGATCCCCAGGTGATCCCTAAGTACATTCAAGCTTAAGAAAAACTTGCTTCTCCCACATTTAGTTTTAGAACTGGGATGAAGTATAGGATTAAATTTGTTGTTTGCCTTTTAACTTATCCTTGTGTTTTCACTCTATTTGTAGTAATTTTAAGTGAAAGGCATAGATATTGTAGTGGTCATTTAACAGATACTGAGCATCTGTTTGTCTACTGTCTTGTGAACCAAGTGATTAAGACATAATTACGTACGATACTCCTTTGCCTCAGAGATTCCACACCCTGTTACGAAATTCATCCGAAATCCTATGAAATTTGGGGGGCTTGTGAAATGACAGAGGGCGGTAGTGGAGTGGTGCAGAAAATGTGAGGCAGGAGAATAAGGTAAATAAATACAGGTCCTGTGCTATATATATATATATATATATATATATATATATATATATTTGACAGCAGCAACTTGCATCTTTCAAGAACTGTGAATTGTTTATCTTGGGAAACATTTTTTAAAACCTGAAACGGAAGAGAAGATTACCACTTTAGATGTAGATCACACTTTTATTCTAGGAAATGCCAAATTCGTTTGTTGTTCTTGTAGTTCTTTTGTTATTTGAATGCCAGATTGTTTCTCCATAAGTGTTTAAGCTTTCATAATATGTGAAAAAAATCTTAAAGAATAAAATCTATGGAAAATGTAGTTGTTTACTTGCCAAACAATTCATCAAGATCTGGATTACTGGTAAAATTGAAATTAGAATTTCAGTTCTCATATTTCTATCTAGGTTTTATTTTTCTTGTTTTTAAACAGGTTCTTATGATACTGACAATATGGACTAAAAAATAAAAAAAGAAGATAGAAACTATATATTTCTTTTTAAAATTCTGTTTATCCAAAGTGTTTATACATTGAAAACAGTATTGCTTTTACTCTAAATTGAACTGCCTGATCATCTGCTCACTTATTGTCCACCAGGAAAAAAAATAGGGGGATTCTATTAAATGGAATACTGACCACCTTATCTTTCTTCTCAGATCAAAGGGATTATATCTGTGAGTACTGTGCTCGGGCCTTCAAGAGCTCCCACAACCTGGCAGTGCATCGGATGATTCACACTGGGGAGAAGCCGTTACAGTGAGTACTTGCTGGTGAATGTCGGGGTGAGGAGTATGCACACACCCCGAGGGTTAGCCCTTGATAAGCACTTCAGCTGCCACTGTTCTTTACTTTTACCAGATTAGAGTGGGCATTTTTTGGGGGGAGCTACTTGGTGACCTTTTTCTTCTGTCTGCCTTTCAAACAAGCAAGAAAAAAAGCAGTTGTGTTCCATCTGATAACTTCTTCTAACCTTTCACAAGAAGTGTGTGTTACTGACTATTGCTTATATATGTGACCTCTGAATTCTCACCCTGACTCTGAGGAAGAGCTCTCTTTCTTTCTCTGTCTGACCAGCCATTTCCTCTTCCACTCTCCTTAGATGTGAGATCTGTGGGTTCACTTGTCGGCAAAAGGCATCCCTTAATTGGCACATGAAGAAGCATGATGCAGACTCCTTCTACCAGTTCTCTTGCAATATCTGTGGCAAAAAATTTGAGAAGAAGGACAGCGTAGTGGCGCACAAAGCAAAAAGCCACCCCGAGGTGCTGATCGCCGAAGCTCTGGCCGCCAACGCAGGTGCCCTCATCACCAGCACTGATATCTTGGGCACTAACCCCGAGGCCCTGACACAGCCTGCGGATGGTCAGGGCCTTCCTCTCCTTCCTGAGCCCTTGGGAAACTCCACCTCTGGAGAGTGCCTCCTGCTAGAGGCGGAAGGGATGTCAAAGTCATACTGCAGCGGGACGGAACGGGTCAGCCTGATGGCTGATGGGAAGATCTTCGTGGGCAGTGGCAGCAGTGGGGGCGCTGAAGGGCTGGTCATGAACTCGGACATACTCGGTGCTACCACAGAGGTTCTGATTGAAGATTCAGACTCTACTGGACCTTAGGAGAAGGGAAGACTGGACACTGGGACAGCTCAGACTTTGTACTTAAATGATAAAAGGACAAAAAAAATTTAAAGCATTTAAAATCTAGTAAAATAACTGAAGGGCCTGCTCTTTCCATTTTGGATCACAGCACACACACATACCCCTACCCCCTCTTCTCCCTCGATTGCCCCCTTTATAAAATTGATGTTGCCTTTACCAGAAAGGTAGACAAAAAAGAAGCTCTTAAAGTGAGGGTCGTCCTCACGCTCCGTTCCAGCCAGGCAGACTTCCTGCTCATCAGCAGCTCCCCTTTTCCACCTTATAACTCGGATGTGCTCTGGGTCAGCTTTTAACTCTTACTAGTATATTACTGTCCTCTAACCCCCGTCTCCTCCTCTACTGCTGCCCTGTGGTTCTGGCTTCTACCCATTGCAGACATTTACCCGAAAAGTATCACATAATTCTAATCTCTGGAGGCTGGCAGCTTGACTTGGCACTTTAGGGCCCCTTAGCAGGGTGAGCTGTTAAAACAGCACACATCTCTCACCCCCTTTTTCTCCAGTCCCCCCTGGGTTTCGAAAAGGAAGGATACATGGGGGCCACCTCCCTCCCCTTCGGCCCCAGCACCTCAGTCCTCCTCCCAACACCTCCATGTGGTTCTCAGCGGCGCTCACTTGCTTGGAAGCAGGCTCCTGCCAGGGAGGGGGCTGCCCTCTCTAAGGTCTCTTTGACCATAGGACAGGGCCGCGTGTCAGTGAGACAGTGAGTCAAGTCCCAGACTAATGGCAGAAATTTGCACTTTGAACATGTGTGTTTTTGTGTTGTGGAACCTGAGATTCCTTATTTATTAACGGAAAGTGATTTTTTTTTTTTGTCTTTGTTGCTATTTTGTGTGGGGCTAGGAGAGAGTGGGTTTTCTGACATGGGGTCCTTTTCTATAAGAGGTACTTTTGAAGGCAAGATAATAGGGTTGAAGAAGCACAGCCAGCCTCTAAAATCATAGCTCTCCAGTGGCCTTGAAGCTGGTCCTCAGCACTAACAAAATCACTACAGTAGCTTAGTGCTTTTTCAGAAGCCTTGTTAGGGAAGAATGTTAGGTTCGTGGTAATTAGTTAGCGCTCTGTGAATTTTTAGAGCATTGAGATTTAGGAATTTTGAGGGGATGAGGAAGGTCGTTCAGGGTCTGAATTAGAGATAAAAGATTTTTCTCTTGTGAATTTGTTTGTGTTTTGCCCCATCATTTCTTTACACATACCTCCCTATTGGTCCAACTCTGGCCTCTTGCTTGGTTTGTGTTTTTGCTTCACTTTATCATAGGTTCATTCCAGCTCCCAATTAGTGAAGGACACTGCCATTAGTGAAGGAATAGTCTGAGCCAGACAGTTTTAAGTCGAAGAAAATTGCTCTGTTTTGTTTCCCTTTTAATAACGCTTCAGAAGAGGAAAGGCTTCAGTAGACAAAGTTAATAATCTGTGTAATAGCTTTGGCTTTCCCTAAAATTCTGGGAATTACCACTTCCCTTGAGATCGGGATTTTCATGGGGTAGATTGCTAATTACTACTGTCCATGAGAAAGACAGGTATTGTTTTTGTACAAGTTCTTAACTCCCAGAAGACTAAAAACCTATTTGGGCTCATTTTTAGGGAATTAAAAGGGCAATTTTTATCCTTCTGTTTACCTCAGAAGATGGAATTCAAGGCTTGCCCTATTCATTGTTTGTCAGAAATGTGCGATGGCTTTTGGAAAGAATGAAGTTTTGCTGAGAACAAAATAAGGAACAGTTTGTTTTTCAAAAACACTAAAACTAAAAAGTTTATCAATTTTCTCTTTGATTTATTCCCTCCCCCCCCCAAAAGAGGGGTAACAAAATGTCATCTCTGAAAGAAGCTTACTTTACACCCACTAGTGTCAGTGTTTGGGATGCCAGGGAAGAGGGAGTGAAACACCTACAGTGAACAGCCTTAAATGCACTATTGTTTCTTTTCAGAGTGTTGCAGATTTGCCATCCCTCCAACGTGGGGGTAGAAAATGGGCTAAGGATACGAGGGGTGTAGAATATGCTCCCTGCCCACAGTAAGGATTTGGAGTTGGCTGTGGTATGTTGGACAGATTTGAAAATATTGTACGATTAATTGGGTGGGCCTACAACCAAGTTGTTCCCCACGCATATAAACCCATTTAGTACTGTTTTACTAGGTAGCGTCTATTCCCCACATTTACCTTTGTCACATTTATTTTATCCTTTGTGTCCATAAATTACATTTAGTGGTTAGTCATCAGGTATTGTAGCCACCTACACAAAAGCAAACTGCATTAAAAAAAAAAAACTGAGATAGAGGAAAATATGTTTTTCCCTATCTCACACTCCTCTCCCCACCAAAAGCAACTAGTTAATTCTAATAATTAGAAACTTTATGTTCTTTCTCCTCTTTTTTTTTTTTGCCCTCTTCATAGCTACCATTTGCCTACAATTTGCTTCAATAAATTATTGTAACAGTTTGCAATGCATTTCAAAATATTTCTCACAGAGTTTATCTTTTTTCTTTTTGGGAAAAGGATGCTAGCATCGGAAAGAGTTGGTATGAGTAAACTAATACTGGACCCTCTTCCCTTTTTCCTTTCTGCTGCTCATGCTGTTTACTTCATTGTCTTTCCAAGGAGCTCTTTTAATCTTAAAATTCTGCATTTCCTACTCTTACTCAAATTCTGTAACCTTTTTTCCCCACTGCGTATTCTTCATCTTGAATTAATCGGCAGTTCTAGATTCTGAAAATGTAGTTGAGATACAAGCATTATTTCTGTGCTTCCCCCTTGTTTATGGTTGCCCAGGGTTATTTTGCATAATTGAGACTTAATATGCTTCAGAGAGTTCAGATTTAACACTGGCCGGGATTACTGGGAGTAAAAAATATATGTATTAAGGTATGGAAAAGCATCCACATAGAGCACTTGAGCCTCCTTTGTACCTGTTTGGAGAAAAAACATAAAGAGTGTATTAAACCTGAGGTTATTACAGTCTGGTTGTTTGAAATACCATTTTTCCCTCCTGTCTTTTTCCCACTTTCCAATGTACTCGAAAAAATCGAAAAATTGTAATGAATCAATTTAAAATATTTTATTTCCTAAAAGCCTTTTTGCCTGTTGTAATTTGCAGGACCCTTCTCCTTTGATGGGAGAGACAGGTAGTTACCTGAATCTAGGTTGAAAAGGTTATGTATAAAGAAATTATAATAAAAGGGATACTCTGCTTTTCAAGTCCTTGTTTTCTCTTACTCTAGGTAAGGCATATCCAAAATAAATATGTAAAGAAGAAAAATAAAAGTTGTCTTCATGGAAGCAACTGGTCTTCCTTGGTTGTGCTGAGTTACAGTTGTCCTAGGGTGAAAACATTGATGCTGCTAAATCAGAAGTGCCCTCAGCAGGTCTTATGTGGCAGATACTGTTGGCTCTTGTTGAGTGAGAATCAGGTAAACTTTGCACTCCATTTAGTTTTGATTTCTAATGCTGAGATGCCATATGATCCTGTGAACATTTGGCAAATTTGGAAAACCCGTATTTCAACAGCCTTCTACTAGGAAAGATGGCCATGTTAATCTAGTAGTGAGAATGTTTAGGTTCCTGTGAGGTTACTTTCACTCTGATAATGCAAAACCCTGATAGCATTTAATATCAGTGCTTCTTCATAAAACTCATTGTCCATACCAATGAGTTTTTTAAAAAGAACTGATGTTTTAAAAAAGAAAATAATAGAATCCTTCTGTCTTCTTAAAAGGGCTACTGTGACAGCCACCCAGGCCCTATTTCTTTCTCCTTATATCCCTCCTTTTGTTGTTTACCTATGGAAATTGGCCCCAGAGAAGGCATGTGTTTCTATTTAGAGGCAAAGCCTATGACTAATTGATTCATTTGAGGGTGAAACTTGCAACTCTTAATAAGTATCATCCTCTAACCTACTGAGTTAAAGGCAACAGAACAGCCACTCTCCAAGTGCTTTTAAACTCTTGCCCTCATTCCAAAGCCCGACTCATTCTCTAATTTTGTTAAGCATGTGGTATGACTGTGATAAGGAAGAAAAAGAAAAGCATGTTGTCACTTGAGTGAGACTGCCTTAGAAATGCTACCAAGTCAGGGTTGGGTGTTTCCTGTTTCTTTGGAAAAGAACAGGCCTAAACAGTATCTTCCTCATCCTGTAGCTACGAGGAAGGCACCGTGCTTGAGATTAGGGATGCTTTTTTAGCTGGTGTTTAATCAGTGTAAATTAAACAAACTTTAAATACATAGCAAAAGGATGGGAGTAAAAAAGCTATATTTTTAAAGGACTTGTTTCACATAAACATTGTTTCTTGAACAAAATGTGAACTTACCTAGAGAATGAAATTTGAATGTCAGTGGGGAAAACAGCTGTAGAATCAAACACCTGTATTTAAATTTTGAGCCTAGTATTTGGATTTTGTGCAAATTATTTAATGTGTTTAAGCCTCAATTTCTTATGTAAGATGGGAGAAATAATACTTATCTCAGAATTATTCTAAAGATCAAATAAAGGCTTTAGTACAGTGTCTGGCCCATGATAGTGCTTAATAAATGGCAGCTATATCAATAATAATAATGAATACCAGGCCAAGAAAAGAAAAGGGACATGGGGAGCACAAGGAGGGTGATAATAAAATGAACTGATATGTGTGTATATAAAATAGATTACATTAGCCAGGGGTGTCATGAGGATTAGTGTGATAGTGACCTTGTTGCTAAGTGCAAAAGCAAAACAATGACATAAAAAACAAGTGCACTAGGCACTCAGTGGTGGAGAGAGATGGAGGCAGACGCTGCAGGAAAAAAAGATTAAATAGGGGCCTTTGATTCCACAGGCACAAAAATCCACAGCCAGGAATTTGCTGCCACCTCTGAGTCAGGCGGGTGGGGGTGGGGTGCACAATTCCATTAGGAGAGAATGCCCAGTGGATTAGTCTGGGAGTCACATTTCTTATTTGGACCAGTGTAGACACAAGCAAACCTAGCTCGCTTGTTTCCTTGGACAGTTGAGTTAGGGGATGGCTTTCACAGAGCATCCACTGCTGACCCCTCACCGCCGGGACCTCTGTAGCCGCTCTATCTGGCTAGCAAGGAAGATTCGTTCAGACCTGACTGCTCTTACGGAATCTTACGTAAGTTGCCGATTTTTCTGTTGTCTGTTTTCACTTTATCTCTTCTGATCCAGTCCCATTACCGATTATGAAAGCTCTAATCATACAATCAGTTGTATATTGAGCACATATTTGACTTGGCCCCTTCCTTTAAGGAAACTCATATGACCTTATTTTCTTCAGGTTGTTCAGGAGACATGTTCCTTAAGTAAGAGAATGTACGTAGGCTTCTAGGTAGAGTTGGCTCTACGTCTTGAAGGCTGTTCCTAATTTGGTTGCCTACAATCTGAATTCTACCAGAATAAGTTTGGGTTCTTTGTTCTGAATTTCCGAGCTATGTAAATGAAAGGTTTATAGGATTGGGAGAAGAGTGGTATAAGCCCAACCAATTTCTCCTAAAAAGTATTAGCCACCCACTTGTTAATTATATCAAAAGTGTTTGGGGTCTAAATAGAAGGCTCACCTATGCCTAGCAGTTTCACAGCGGACTTGGGGACGTGTTCTATTCTTAAGGAGTTAACCGTGAGTTCAGGTTGGTTTTCTGATAGAGGGCGCTCCCCATCAGTCCATGTAAGGTCTGCTGTGGAAATACTCCAGACCCTGTGGGAAGTAGCTTCATGCAGCCCCACCGGTAAGACATCAGAGTTTTTGAAGTACCTTTTTTCTTTTTTTTTTTCAGTTGCCACTGAATTCTCTAAAGGATTGTCCTCACCATTGGGAGAGGGCGGGGAAAAAAGCTCTACAGTGGCTCTATTCTAGGGTTTCCTAGGTGTGGCCAGTGCTTTCAAGTATGTTTAAAATATTTAAAACTCCAGTATGAGTAAAAAATTCCAATGTCTAGGAGGGAGTTTGAAGTGGGAAGGAAAAGTTACTCTGGACCCGTGGTTATTAAAGTGAGGATGTTGGGCGATTCTAGGAGATGTGATGTTTTTCTTTATCCTCGGCCAGGCGAAGCATCAGGGCCTGAACGAGAACATCAACCTGGACTCGGTGGATGGGGTGCCGGTGGCCAGCACAGATCGGTGGGGTGAGCTGACGGAGGCAGAGCGGCTCCAAGAGAACCTCCAAGCTTACCGCACCTTCCATGTCATGTTGACCAGGCTCCTAGAAGACCAGCGGGTGCATTTCACTCCAGCTGAAGGTGACTTCCATCAAGCAATACATACCCTTCTACTGCAAGTTGCTGCCTTTGCTTATCAGCTGGAGGAAATCATGACGATCCTGGAACACAAGGTCCCCCCCAGTGAGGCTGACAGGATGCCCGCTCTTGTTGGAGGTGGTGGGCTCTTTGAGAAGAAGCTGTGGGGACTAAAAGTGCTGCAGGAGCTTTCACAGTGGACCGTGAGGTCCATTCGCGACCTTCGAGTCATTTCCTCTCATCAGACTGGGATCTCAGCACGTGGAGGCCACTATAATGCTAACGACAAGAAAATGTAGCAGTTACCTCTCTCTCTCTTCCCTGCTTTTCTAATGGAATATACGTAGTCCTCTGAGGCCTCACTTTCCCATTCCTAAAGTTTTGAAAACCTTTTAAGGCCACAGGCATTTTCATGAAGTGGGGTGGACACATGGACAAGTGGACATACAGGCTCTTAGTTGGCAGAGGTGGGGGGGCGTTGGGGCCACAAGGAGGCGGGGGCGGGGGCAGCATTCTTCCACCTCAGTGCTCCAACATTTTCTACCCACTGAGTAACCTCTGCAGACATTTAACAGCCTCTCAGAATAAGTATATTGTTAACTCTAGTCCTAGGCAACTCTTCTGAGACGACTTAATAGTGAACTAAAACTCACGGACTCTTAACCAATTCAAACTCTTGGATAATAAATTGATTGAGCATCTATATATTGAAGCAGTGTGCTGCGGCTGTTACGTATATTGTGATTCTCACAACAACCCTGTTGAGGGAGGCAGTGTTATTCCCATTTGGCACATGAGATAACCGACTCTCAGAAATATATCAACTTGTTCAAGATTACCCACCTAGCAAAGGGCACACTGAGTTCGCACCCAGGTCTTTCTCCTCCCAAGCCCCATGTTCCCCTCCCTTTAGAGGCCTCGTTAGGAACCTCTCACCGCACCTCTGCCACACACGGTTGGGAAGTGTATCCCGTAGTCCATCCCTAGCACTGAAGAACACCCCCTTCCAGTAGTCCCGCTTATCCTCAGTTTCCACAGTTTGTTACCTGGGGTCAACCATGGTCCAAAAATATTAAATGGAAAATTCTAGAAATAAGCAATTGATAAGTTTTAAATTGTGCACCGTTCTGAGCAGCATGATGAAATCTTGTAAAATCCCCTTCCATCCCGCCCAGGACGTGAATCATTCCTTTGTGTAACATCACACTGTACACTGCCCTCCCGTTAGTCACTTAGCCATCTCCGGTATCAGAGAGAGAGATCACATTCACGTAACTTCTGGTACAGTGCCTTCTTGTAGGTTGGTTTTTTTTTATTGTGAAGCTCTCACTGGTAAGACAAAACAGAAGGTTGTGTACTGTCCGCAGCTCAGGTATCCTCTGGAGACCTTGGAATGTACCCCGTGGACCGGGGGACTACCCTGCATGTCCTGAATGGCACAGTTTTAGTGTCACAGGCAGTATCTGTCCACACTTGGTAAAGAAGAGAGCAGTGGGAATCTTAAGATTCTGCTTGGGGAAGAAATGAGGCTCAGCAAACAGGAAGCTGGGGTGTGCTGTAAGGCATCTGCTGTCAAGTGTCCACTGTTTGTGAGTTGGGACTCGGGCACAGCTTATACCAGGTTACTACAAACCTATTGTAATCAATGCAATGTCACCGCCTCTGTAACCCAAGCATTTGAGGACAATGGCTGGACTGCTGCTAAAGTTAAAAAGTCACAGAACTCCTTCATGCACATTCTCTGGACTCAGTCATGAGGAGAGGGTGAGGCCCACTCTGTTGCCAGTGGGAGTGCCAGTGATTCTGAAACAATATGTAGCAAAGCCTCCATGCTCCCCAGCAAAGGGCCAGGGCTGTGTGTTTAATGTTCTGGAGAACAGCAGTACGAAAGTGCCCACCCACAAATGAGGGCGCTGATGAGAAAGGTCATTTGCCGTTGGGCCTATGAACTAGGGGTGCAAGTGTGAATCCAGAGGCTCTCAGGTGTACCATTTCCCCACTACGCATGAACTAAAACTCAACACCTTGGATTGGGGGCCCAAATCAATTTAGGTTACTTATTTGAGGCTTCTGTATCCTTAAATGAACCATGAGTCACAGAGGGTTCTAGCTCCCACAGGTTGCATGAGACAGAATGGGTGACTTAGCTTGTGTTCCTTCCCACATGGGTTCATGTCCAAAACTGAAGTCCATGTGATGAGAAGACTGAGCTGTGAATTTATGGCAATTCAGGGCAAGCACACCCCTGCTCTCCAACATGGAAACAAGGTCGGATGCATATAAGAAGGCACTACTAGGATGGAATTGGAAGGCGCAGGGGTAAGTAGGCAGTGACAGGAAGGAGCTCAGTGAGGGCAGGGATCCCGTCTTCCTGGAGGCGGGAGGTGTTAGCTGTGCCTCAGTGGTTGGCTGAGTACCAAATAAAGAGAAATCATGAGAAGAGGAATGGGAAAGAGTTGCCCAGTTAGAGGAAAAGTGAGGAAATAATAAACATCTGGGTCCAGCTACCCCTAGGGGTTTTGTTTGGTTTTATTTCGTCTGTCATTTTGGTGTCGGTAGATATTTCCCCAGTGAATGCATAGAGGTTTATTTCATTCAAGCTTTTCTTATTTAAATAGTTTCTTCTGCTTAAGAGCAGTATTTTTGATTGGTAAAGTGCCTATTAACATGAAGCTCTTCAATTTATCTGAATAGCATTTTAGGCTCTTTTTGTTTCATGGAGAAAGATGTGACAAAAATTTCTCAACAGGAATTAATTGATTACAAACTCGCTAAATCTGAAAGGAGTGGCCCCTCTCCCAAGCGTTTTGTGTTTCTGTTCAGCAGATGTTGCAGCACAGACACCTGCAGAAGTGTCCGAAATCTGGAGCACGGCTTACGCTCTGAGTCGCACGTGAAGGAATGTCTAAGTATGAGAGGCGTGTTTGCAGTGGCGGAGGGTCCAGAAAAAGGTACAAGTCCCAGCTCTCTAATGGGAAGAAATAAGGTGTGTGAGCACTGTGCTGAGCTGTGATCAGATTCTTCTTCAAGAAACTTGCAGTTTGCTTTAAAAGAAGTGTGGGGGAGCTCCTCAGAAAAAGGTCACAAAAGGGAGAAAGAGCACCTAGCCATCATAATAAAGACAAAGATGTATGGGTCTCAACGTGCAGACACTGCATCGTGCTTATCTGAAATGGATGGAACAGAATGACTCAGGGACTGACAGTAATTAGACCAGTGCTGTAGCTGTGTGTCTTAACAGTACCCATGGGGATAAGAGTGACATTGTGGGAGTATACTCCTATGTTTTTTGAGTAACATCCACAACCCGAGAGATATTTGATCTTTAGATTTTAGTTGTTTCTTAGATCTGTACATGGATAGGATCTCTGGGGAATCATATTTTTACATACATAGAAATTATATGTTAATGTGTACATTATCACCATATTCTGTGTGTATATAATTTAAAAGCATACATTTAGTTCTTTGTCCCTAACTCTCATTTTGTGAAGAGGATTCCTTCCACGCCACTGTCTCCAGAAATGACCTCTCTGTGGGTAGAGAGTCAGTTTTCCTGAATCTGTCAAGGAATTGCATGGATGAGTGTTGATAATAAAGTCTTTTTGCATTGATTTAAGTGGGTGATTTGGAAAAGATTTTCAGATTAGCACAAACTCAAAGGCCAAGCATGGAATAAAATTAGCTTTAAGATAATCGGGTTTGAGGGAAGTGAGAGTTTTAATAAAAATGGAAAATGTAAGGTCATAGCCCTGGTATTGCTGTTATTTCAGGCTGCTGTGGATTCAAGCCCAATGGATGACTCACTGCGTTGCTGGTCAGACAGGGAGAGAAGGAGTCAATACTGCAGGGAGACAAAGCTGAAACACTGTTTAGAATGATTTTTGTTGGTGAATCCTCACCTCCTCAGGAAGTAGCGGAACACCTTCTTCCTCTATTGAGGATCAAAATAGAAATGCAGAAAGCAGGGGGCTTCCATCAAGATGAGAAAGGGATTGGTGAAGGGGGAAAGGAGAAAATGAAGAATCTGGATATCATTTCAGTTGATTTGATGTGTGTGTGTTTAGGCCAGGCCATTTGAAAAGAATGGTTTGTCCCACCTCAGCTTCAAGCATCACACCCAAGAATGAATCCTCTGAATGTTAGTACAAAGTGGAAGTGATACAAGTTTCATCTCTCCACTCAAAAGTTATAGAGTTCTAGGTTGTACTGAGAAAGACGGTAAAAATATAATTTGATCTTTTGATGAAATGTGTGGGGGGTGTGAGGTAAGAAAATTCACGTGCATGTGATTCTCCTGTTACTGGGATTGATCGAATTTCGGCAGATAACAAAAATAAAAGATGGAAGAATGGCTAACAATACAGATCTCACCTTGGCAAGACCATGAGTTGCTTCTTTGTTCTGTACTTTTGGATGAACAAGGGGAATGTCAAGTGATTTCACCCTTGGATGAAATGTAATCCTCCCAGCCAGGGCAGGTCCAGTCAGGCATGCTGGGTAAATCGCCACGACACCAGGCCCCCGGGAGAAACTCCCCACGCCAGGCAGCCTAGCAAAGTACACTGCCCCTGCACCCAGCTGCCAGCCTGCAGAGGGGAAGGCTTCCTTACATACGGTTGCATTTCAAGTATTTGACCCTCAGTCAAGCCTTCGGCAGACAGAAGAACCCTGATTAGCCCAGATTTGGTCAATCTGAGGGCAGAAACTAAGTTGTGGAAAATATGAAAAACTGCTTAAGAGGTCATATGTTTTTATCCACATGTTCAAGGTCGTATGAAGCGGAACCCTGCATTTTCTCAATTACGTCAGGCATCTCAACACTATTTTGTGTCATTTAACCCTCTGAGATGGGATCTCTCACAAACGAGGGAAACGAGAATAAACATGAACTTGTCCAAGCTCCCTCCCTCCACTCATGTGTGACAGGACTGGAGTTCTAGTTCTGGCCCCAGGACTCACTGCACTCCCCACCACCATGGGACACCAGCAGTTGAGGTCATCTCATTCTGAAATTCATCCTTCCTCTCTAATTTGCTTCCCTTGGATAATGCCCGTACAGACTTGTACCAACTCTTGCTCTGTGGCAAACCCTATTAAGTTTCCAAACTTTGGGACAAGTCACTTTTTTTTCTGAGCTTCCTCATTTAGGGACTGGGAATGACATACTAACTTCATGGGTCGTTACATGGTTCAGACAAATTGAGTGTCTGAAAGTGCTTGCAAACGACATGCAAATGTCAAGTATATTTAATGTCCCAAGTAGCTTGCACCAATGGAAGACTTTTGACTGAAGAGAGAGCTCTGTAAGTATCTCAGAGAAAAACCCATTGCCTCCCAGGATCCATCTGTCACAGCCTAGGCTTCACCCTGTTGTGTGCATTAGAGGTGGACCCAGTCTCACACACAGCCTCCAGGGCCATCCCCCTTTCTGGAGAGTTAAGACGTGGGCTGTTTACTACCCCCAGAAGATGGCTTTCACAAGTTCTGGAGAAGCCTGGCAGGCTCTCTCTCGAGAACCAAGGAAACATGCAAACCAAGGCACCTCCCGGAATGTGGTAAAGCATGCATTTAGACTTACAGCCATCCCGCCATGTACCAGCACCCTCCTCAATACAGGAAGAGACTCAAACTTCATTTAGTTCTATCCCGTCACTAAACACAGCCCAGGGAGCCAGAAAGGTTCAGTAATCGGCCCTCATGTCCCAGCCA